CACCCCTGTCGACACGACGTGGGTGTGGGTGTGGGATTTGTACCGGATCTGGTCAACCGACTCTGGGTACTTTGACCGAAATCGATGGAGAAATTAGGGACAGATACAATGATTTTTGAAATCGAATAAAAAGTGAAGGATCCGACCTCTAGATCCGCACCCGTGTCGGACACCCGCACTCGAGTCGGAGCAACTTAGATATTCTTCACCTTCTTCTCCATGTATTGTCTAACGTGCAAATACTAATGATATTGGTACCTTGGGCTCATTTTCTGCAGAGTGACAGTGATAATTTTGAAGATGAAGATGACTCCAATCACAGACCACAGTTAGCATCTGCTTATAAACGCCTGATCGCCATCCACGCCGGGAAGCCTAAAGGTGGATTAAAGGAGGCACTGAAAGTCGATCCTGATAAAGTAAGACGACTAAGTTTAAGTGAACAGGCTCTCGAAAAGGCTGCCGAATCTCATGGAACGGAAATTGTGAGGTTTGTATTTCCACGCAACAAAGAGAGACAGTTGAGGTGGCTTTAAGCTGCCGTCAGTGGAGTTGTCATGGACTTAACCTAATTTTTCCTGAATCTTTTACTAGGTTCACGCAAAGAAACATTTTAAGGGTGTACCCTAAAGGTACTAGGTTTAACTCCTCCAACTACAAGCCACTAATCGGTTGGATGCATGGAGCTCAGATGGTTGCATTTAATATGCAGGTTTGGTTCTGAGTCTTCATTTGCTTCTCTATTATGTGATACCTAGTGTTATTTTTACTATTTGTTCGACAACATCTCATTTCTAATGATGCTGTTTCTTGATGTTTGATATGCGTTAAACTCGCTACTATCTGCTATTTTTAATTTATGGTACTGCGATATAGGTGTATCCCAATGAAACTTATTCCGTCTAGTTTCATATCATTGTTCTTTGGTTCGTAAATGGCTCATGCTAAGTGATTCTATCTCAATAGACTAATTACTAAAGCGTTCTCCGTTTTAACCAAATTTATTAGTCCTGCTGTTTGTCAAACTCAATAGATTCTTATGTCAGTAGGAAATATAGAGAACTTCTAGTACTTCTCCTTTTTATTTTATATTGTAATAATGTTGGCCTGATGAATTTAAATTGGGGACATGGTTAGTGAGTGTTCATATACCCCTTAGATTACATAAGAATCCATTGGATTTATAGATACTAAGCCTGGTATTTGAATGTAAACTATATTGCAGACACTCGAAAAAGTTAGTCGGGTGTCATTTGATATCTCCTAGTTCAGATAAAAACTACTTATATTTTGTTTGATACTTCTCCTTCATAGTTTTTTGATTGAGAACTCATAGATTTCAGGTCCTTGCTAAAATCAACTTGTAGCCCAAACATTGGGCCCTAAAATTGTTGACTCAAATTCTTACCTTTTTTTCAAAGGGCTTTTTTCATGTTTGTCAAGGCAGCCCGAAATAATTACAGGCGTGCAAAGTGTGTACACCGATTATGAATATGATATGTATATCATATGTATATTTATGTATATTCTGTATATTATATGTATATTATTCTTAATATACAAGACATATACATTTTTTTGGGCGGCCCAAAATGAATCTATCCCCTTTTTTAAAATGAAAACTTGAACTCAAATTCTTACTTGGATTTTAAATTCTCTAAATCGAAATGCTATATATGTCTTTTACTTCAAACTCGCTATCTGCCGATCATATTTCAACAGATATTTACAAATTTTACATATTGGAACTTCTTTAGATTCTTAACTTAATAGAATGACGTATTACCTAACCATGACAGGGATACGGTAGAGCACTATGGTTGATGCATGGGATGTTCAGGTCAAATGGAGGCTGTGGTTATGTTAAGAAGCCTGATTTCTTGCTAAATGTTGGTCCTAATAATGAAGTTTTTGATCCTAAGGCAAAGTTGCCAGTTAAGATAACCTTAAAGGTAAGCAAATGACTGTGTGAATACAACATCCTTTAACCAATGTAAGTTTCTTATGCTCTCATTTTTCGGACAGGTGAAAGTATATATGGGAGATGGATGGCATTTAGATTTCAAGCAAACACACTTTGACTTGTATTCGCCTCCGGACTTCTACACAAGGGTAAGCCGGTTTTGCTTTGTATTAACACCGTTGTTTCCTTCTTTTCACTACTTTTATGATGTTTCCACACCATCACATGCAAAGACATGAAAAATGTCAAGTCAATCGCATTGCCAACTTTTGATACGGAGTATAAATATATGTGGAAAGTTAGTAAAACACCAGTAAGAACTTAAAGGTTGAACGCATCAGATCTAAATCTTGAATCCGCCTCTGATTACAGGTTGGGATAGCCGGAGTGCCTGCTGATGAGATAATGAAGAAAACAAAAACTAAAGAGGATAAATGGACGCCAGTTTGGGATGAAGAATTTACCTTCCCACTAACTGTGCCCGAATTAGCTTTGCTGCGAATTGAAGCACACGAGTATGACATGTCAGAAAAGGATGATTTTGCAGGCCAAACATGTATACCTATTTCAGAGTTGAAACCTGGGATTCATGCAGTTCCTCTTTGTGACCGAAAAGGTGAGAAATTTAGTTCCGCGAGGCTACTCATGCGCTTTGAGTTCGTATAAGGTTTTGTTATTGTGTGTTTTTCTCATGCTTTCTTTTTTTGTGTGTCATGGGATAATGTTAGCATACATTTTTAGGAGTTTGTAATAATGTTGTTATGTTCTCTTTGGAGAGGCTTGTATTGTACAGAATTTTCTACAAGTAAACAAGATTCTAGTGCTTGTTCAATTTTTTTAGTGAGAGTTTAGAATTTCACTTGCAAAAGTTAGTCATTTTATATCATCAATCCTGATATTGCTGCTGGATCTTTATGAAGTAAAAATCTTGTTCTTATGTTTAAAGAAGATAGGAAATTGTAGGGATATTCAGACATAGTTCATGTCCAGTACATGTTTTAAGTACTGTTGGTATTCTTGGGGAAACGACTTGTTAACTGGAATTTTCCAATTCTCATTCCAAATATTTGAATATTTGATAAAATATTCAAATACTGGTTTGAGGAGTATCTCACGTGAAATAATGATTTTCTATGCACAAATATTAAACTTTCATGAAGTCTTTTGTTAAGTTGATGTTTATATGTTCAAACACATTTTTAATTTCAAATACTTTTTTTTCCTTTAAAATTATGTCAAATATTCAAGGGTGTGGCCTAGCCGTCAATGAATTGGATGGAGAATCATGAGGTTTCCTGTTGAAATCACAATATAGACAGAAATACTACTAGGTTTTTTTTTTCCTATATGTCTAAATCTTGATAGACAGTCCTTTCTTTTAATAAACATAAATTTATGTGTAAAAATTTACTAAAACTCTAATAAAATATAGATATGAGCTCATAAATTTAAAAATATAATGAATTTTTTCATTGTGTTGTGCAAGGTGGACAGTAACGATACTTGTGAAATTAGTTGAAGCGTACAAACTGATTAATACGGCACCATTATTAAAAAATATTATCCAGTGTAGGACTGTAAACTGTGATAGCACACCCAACAAAAAGACACCATCATTAAGATCTAATATCATATCAAAAGTAGATTCAGCTAGTGCCAAAATGCAGAGTTTGTTTGAACTTCGAAAAACACAGCTTCAGAAAAAACAATACATGCCTATATAGAGATAGCTTACTATTTATACAGTGACGGTGCAAAAATAATAAACTACTCCTATTAGGGTTCAGTTTGGTAGGGTGTGTAAGAGTCATATTGAAAGAAAGGATTAGTTATGATGAAATTATTTTTTATTGACTGTTTGGTTTAATGTATTAAAAATAAAATATTTTATTGATTTATAAGAATCTCTCCACATTCTTTGGAAAGGGTTTTGAATAGTAGTTTTCTCTTTATACATAATTATATCTAAAGGCGGATGCAACATAGCGTCATGGGGTTCAATTGAACCTAGTACTTTTGATGTGAAAAATAAATTTATAAGTAAAAATTATTTAAATTATAATAAATAGTCATAACTTTAAAATATAATGGGTTTAAAGCTAAAAACTTTAAATGTTGAACCTACGGAATAAAACTTATAGATTCGGCTATGAATGTATTTATCCATGTATTAAAAATCATACTATTACTAATGCCATGACTATGTAAAAAATAGTTCTAAATATAGAAATATAACTAATAAAGATATTAGTTATACATAAGTTGAAAAACACTAACAAACAAGAAATTAACTAAAACTCTTTAAATATTGGTTGCTAAATTAGGACAAGATAAACAACAATCTCTCACGAGCTCTGCTGTGTGGTTTTAATGAATTATCAAAATAACACGACAATTTGAAATTTAAGAGTGGTAAATTATGTCACAGCCATGTTCTATCATAATTTGATGTTGTACAAATTTTACACCACAGTAACATTATTAATCTAGAGAAAACTGATGACCAACATAACATGACAAATGTTACGTACAATTTCATCTACTAATTAATTTGCCGAATTGTTAGCTGGACGTACAATAAAGGCTTTAATTTGTGTCAAAAATCATAAGAGCATTCATTGAGTATTGTCGATTGATTGATCAGAAATTACAATTGCAATTTATTAAATTATAATTATATTGCTAGATATCTTTTAGTAAAATCATTTTTTTGTAAGTAGGCACTATAAAAGAAAAAAAGTGAAATTAGTTATGAACTTCACACATATGTCTTTACATCGCTTGTAAATAACAAAATTTATTGATAATCTGCCGCTAATCCTTTGCTAAATAGGGTTAGCAAGAAATTTTCTTTTTAGCACCCGAATTTTCGTCACACTTCATTTTTTAAATAGTGAGACCTAGCCATTACCATTATTGCAAAAGCTTCTTGATTTCGGGCTACATATTTTAAAACATACATGTAGCCTCTAAAGTGAAGGAACAACAAGGAAAGATGACAAAGTAAAATTTCAAGACCAAATATTGTAAATAGACAAACAATAAACGCCAAAACTAAGGCAATATTTTTTAAAGGGAAAAGTATTAAGAGCAAAAATATTACAATAAACAGCCAAAGCCCCCCTCAATATTCTCTTTAATAGTTTGCCTCCTTGTAAAACCATACAGCCATCAAACTAAGTTTCTGAACAAAGGAAATTATTTGGAAATAATTGTTGATTAGAAATTATATTTCTGTAATAAATATTAGGCTGGAAAAGAGTTACTCAGCCTTTTTCCCAAATAATTTGAGCAGTTGTGGATCAGTCTGATAGTAAACAATTTCTCCATTGTCACTAACAAAATGGTCCTGCTTCATACTTGACACTAAATTTCCAATCAAATGAAATGGAATTATTCCTGATTTTTTTGGCTCCCTATAATACTTCCCAAGTACCGGCTTTGCCGCTTTAGTCTGTCAAAAAAAGAATGTAGCCATTCCGAAAATATTAGAATAAGCTTGAAATTTGACATATAAAGTTAGAATTAGACATGAATTTCACTTTGAAATAAAAATAAAAAATTCTTATTACCGCTTCGGCGAGGTGATAATGTGGTATCTGAGGAAAAAGATGGTGAATAACATGGGTGCCAATATCATGTTGAATGTTATTAAACAAGCCATAATCTCTATCAATTGTTGTTAATCCTCCTCTTAGATAACTCCACTCCTATATATTTTCCAAAATATTACACTATAATTAGCATTATAGATATAGAAAATTATATGTATTGAATTTTGATTATGGAAATACCTTGCCACGGTACCAAGGTAAATTCTGCTCATGGCCATGGTGGTGTAAATATGTGACAAAATCCAACCACATAACAAAAATCTGAGAACAAAAATTATTAATGTCAGTTCTAGTGGGACATAATATAAGGACATCTCATTCATTTCATTAGATCATGTTTAGTACAAATGACAGTAAAAAAAAGTTACTATTATATTATCAGTTCAATTTAACGAGTTCTAGAAACAAATAAAAAACTTCATATAAGAAAATATTAGAAATAATAATGTAAAATTTAGGTATGACTAACCATATAAGGAATTCCATAAAGCTTAAACAGTTGAAGAGAGCCGATAACAGTATAAAGATAGTAGAGGAAAGCCACCATAACAGTCCAGCATAATGTTGATGTTATGACATATTTTCTCTCGTGATGTTGAAACAAATCACTATATGGATTAAAATGAGAACCTTTTTTCCCTGGACTTCTGCTTATCTACATCACCAAAAAATAATATATTAATATTAGTAAAGCACATGGAATAAAAAATTTCTAAAATGAATTTATAAAGGAAAAATAATCAAGCAAAATAATATTACCAAGTACATAGGGTATGCTAACAAGGGAAAAGGAATCTTGAATCTAAAAAATTTGGTAGCAAAATCCAGTTCTTTATATAGTTTTTCTGGCATCTGCAGGCCAAAAAAAGGAAGATATATAAATTATTAGGATTAATTTTAACATAAGATAATTCAGTTATATGATACCGGCACCCAAGATTCATCAGCTTCAACATTTCCATGGTTTTGATGGTGAGTTCTATGGCTGATTCTCCTGCCATTATTTTAAAGAAATTTTAGCAAAGATAAAAGAAGTCATCAATTCTAAGTCTTGAAAACAACATCACAAATAATGTCAAGTAAAGCTACTAAGGTTATTCCTTCGTCACAAAGATTGTAATAGAATGATACGTATTTGTTCATCTTTAATTCTTAGGTTTTCAATTCTAATAGAATTTCCTTTGTTAGATAATACTTTACCACCCTATTACAAATACCGAACAACGGGTGGTAAATCATAAAAAAGACTATCTACAATAGTCCTTAGTACATATTATAATTTTATCTATAATTTTTAAAAAAGTAAGTAAAGCAAATGATAAAAGGATTTTTCTTTGGATAGAGACAGAAGAAGAACCAACCATCCATGATAGGGTACAAGGATAGAAGAATGAAGAATGTGTCCAACCACACTATTAAGAAATGCACTCTCTGAAAAGCTTCCATGTCCACTGTAAAACAAATAAAAAATTTAAAATGTAGACAATAAAAATATTTAAGTTAAAAGAAAGAATTTAAAATGTAATTATCTTACCAATCATGTCCAAGAACAAAGATTGCCCAAAACATAGTACCCTGAGCAACCCAATAAAGTGGCCAAAATTTCCAACTATCCAAAAAAATGGCTATGGCAACCAATGCAGCAACAATAGTAAAATCTCTAAAAACGTAACTTAGTGATTTCCATGGATTTTTAACCCAACAATGCTTAGGAATAGCAGCTCGAATTTCAGATAACTTAAATGGAGGTGGTGCACTTGGATCAAATTCCAATTCCATTTCTTCATTTCCCTTTTCATAATTCAATCCAAGAGACCCCATTTTGTGAAAAAAAGAACCTGCAGTTTATACAAAATAACAAAAATAAAAATTCAGAACTTATAGCAAAGAGGGAGACTAGAGGTAACTGGTTCAACAAAACACACTGCGCCTAACACACAATTAATATATACTTGTAAGGGCAAGGCAGTAATGGGTTCAACAAAACACACTGCGCCTAACACACAATTAATATATACTTGTAAGGGCAAGGCAGTAATGGGTTCAACAAAACACACTGCGCCTAACACACAATTAATATATACTTGTAAGGGCAAGGCAGTAATGGGTTCAACAAAACACACTGCGCCTAACACACAATTAATATATACTTGTAAGGGCAAGGCAGTAATGGGTTCAACAAAACACACTGCGCCTAACACACAATTAATATATACTTGTAAGGGCAAGGCAGTAATGGGTTCAACAAAACACACTGCGCCTAACACACAATTAATATATACTTGTAAGGGCAAGACAGTACAAAGTATCCCGCATTCAAGCATGATTCAGGAAGGGCCACACCTCAAGAGGATGTGATGTAAGCAGATTATCCCGACGTAAGTATTAGTGGCTAATTTTACAGATCGAACCCGCGACTTATAAATCACATAAAGACAAATATAGGCGCAAGTCTCTCTCTCTCTATATATATATAAATAAATTCAAGACATATATAAATAGCAGAACCCGCTGACTCTAAACTCAAATATTTTAATAAGTTACACATATATAAAGAGCAGAATCCACCGACTATAAAATTAGATTCGCCCTCAAAAGGAGGAATAAGAGAATAAAGCAAACTCTTTCAGATATTTTGCATTAGCTTAAGAACATAATCTAGTTAACCGAAAAATGAAAAAAGTAAACATATTTCAGTGGCAAACACATGCACTGTTCCCTTTACATAACATCTCAAGAAAAAACACATAGCAAAAGTTAACATGAATGTGTGGTGCAATTTCAGTAATAAAAAGAAACAGTTCTTCTCAAGATTTTGTAACATACACAAGACTAAAAATTCAAAAAATAAAATAAAATCTGTATATATTACCTTTTGATAGCTCTTTATATTTGTCTTCACTTTCAGTGGTTCAGTTTTTCTGCAGGTTAAAAGACAAGAGTCCAGGGGGATTTATATATATGTATAAAGAAATAGAAAAAGTCTAAGTCTGTGGAATTGGAAAATACGTAATAGGTGGGTCGTGGAAATTAATGAAAAATCAAGTCATTAATCGCTAAGCTCGTTGTTCCCTACCTTAATAAATTCTCTTTTGAACCAAAAAAAGATGTGCCTAGAATACCATTAATTTACTTCACGTACTCTCTCTCTCTCTGGAGCATCTATATGATTTTATACATATATAGAGAGAGAAAAGTGAGAAGAATAAAGTTCATTTTGTGAATGGAATGTTGGATTCGCTATAAATTGAATAATATTGCTTTTTATACAAAGTCAAGCACTTTTTTTTTATACTGGCAGTGTCGGGGCCAGAAATTTTATTAAATGATGTCAAAATATAAATAAGTAAAAATACGAAGAAATTAAGGAGATTCAACATATAATATATACATAAAAATATATTTTTTGAGCAAATTAAATAATGTAATTTTCTTGCGAAAGAGTGTCTAAGGTAGCTTCGCCACTGCTTACATAAAATCTTAATAATAAACTTTAAATGGTGTCCTAGTAAATTTTAAAAGTAAAAATGGTAACATAGTAAAAATGATAACAAATATGTGATTATATGTTAAATTACGTATATAATGTAAAAAATTCACCATCAAATAAATATAACTTAAATACGTAAAAAAATCACTATCAAATGTGAACATAAGTAAATCATTTCATTCTGTCGAACTCAAGTAAATTTGAACGGTCAATATTCTTTTAGTCTTCCCAAATAGTTTCGTAATTAGAGAAAAGAGTATCAATTACCATTATCATCGTGAATCCAAAAACTTAAATTGCTGACTCAACTCTCTTTCATCTCTTATATTAATTTAGAAAATTACATTTCTTGCACGGTAATGCCAATGCAAAATTAGTTATTAATGATTTTAGCAAGTTTTCCAGGGAATGCATAAGTCGTTCCTAATTAGTTTAATGATTATAGCAAGCTTTTTAGGGAATGAATAAGTGGTTCCCTCATTTTTATTATACGTTGAAGATTAATTAGTTCATCAGCAAAGTTAGTATGTTTGTAGTGCTTATGTAAATATTTCAATTATCAAATTAGAGGTCTCAGCCTCGAGATTTGGGTACAAAATAATTCTAGTAGGGAGCGTTTCTCCTTACCCGACGCCCACAATAGTAGAGGTACCAATACGGGTATTAAACACCGCATGAGAAGCAAAAAAAAAAAAAACTAATTTTGAGTAATGTTTTTTTTTTCCTTCAAGAAATTAGAGTGTATAGCTATTAGTAGGGTTTTAGCAAAAGAATAAGCTGTATGCCTATTTTTTCAAAATATTAATTTTTTTATATAGTATTTATTGAATTTTTTACTTGTGCCTAAATTGTTCTTTGGGTATTTCAATCCTACAATTAATTACAAAATCTCATCAAGACCTTAATCTTGAAGTCACAACAGAATTCGGATCTAAAATTTCTTAGTAGTTTTTTGAGTGGGTGTAGTTTGAATTCGTTTCAACACCTAGACAAGATTATACACAAATTTTGAGGAAGATTGAGGTGATTTGGAATGTCTTTGGAGTCAAAATTCAAAGATGAAATCAACCTGGAAAACGTTATGGCAACAATGTATATCACAATGTGTATATCATGTATATCACACACAGATTTTCATAGATATACACAAATGTACATGAGAGACACGGGTATTCATGAAAGATATACATGTATATATATATACAAGAAAATACATGGATATATACGAATACAGTAAAAATGATGTCGTCTTCAACCTCAAGTTTTCAATCTGAAAATTAGTTCGACCGCTTGTAATCGTCTCCGAACACTTCCAAATTAATGTTTAAGCTCCTTAAATCTTAATATGTTTCCGACAAAATCCGATATCCCTTAATTGAAACAAATCACAATATTGTAGATCGAAAAATTGAACCAAGTTTTTTTCAGGTCCTACTACAAGTTTCTGCTTCCCAAAGTAGTCTATTTTGTGTCATTTATGGCCTACTGGACATAGGATGCCAATTTCCCCCTTTTTTTCTTCATCATAGAATGTAGTTGGCAATCAAAGACTATGGGTCATCTAATCTAGTCTAAATGTAGTATTCAACTTGTTCACTATTAAAGAGAGGCATTAATATAAACTTTTATCGTTTAAACACGTTTAGCTAGTATTGGAAGAGATATTTTTTATATGTATATATATTATGTGTTGACTCTCCTTAATTAATTTTTATATATTTTGACATTCCTTAATAAAAATTCTGACTCCGTCACTACATTTAGCTGATATGTATTCACTTAGTTTGTGACTCTCAAGGTTAAATTATTACGGTAGCAACAATATGTGAATCGAATAGTTCACGTTTAAAAAAGCATCTACTTTAATAGTACTTGCTAAATTATGAGAATCTATTCTTTATCATTTAAAGTAAAGTAGAGTTTTGTTGGTTTAAGTTTGCCTTTAATTTACATGCACGTCTCATGGAATAGGGGTGTACAAACCGAACCTCCGAGGAGCGAGGAATGATTCCCTCGTCTGAGAACCGTCATTCACATACTATTCCTCCCCACTAAAAAGAAAGAATGAGAATCTCCCCGGCGCGACAATTTTTTTTTTCTTTTCATATTTTCACAACTGGTTTTTTTATTTTTCAGTTTACAAATTTAAAATTTTATGAGTTCAGAGGTTTATGTGTTTGGAAGATTGTGAGTATAGAAATTATAGAGTTTACTAGTTCGAAAGTTTAGCGGTTCGGAAATTTATAAAATTTGTGGGTTCAGAAGGTTGTTGGTTCGAAAATTTATTGCTTCATGTTTATTGTATCTAAATTATTTACAAATATTCTTGAGAAATTATTTTCCTTAATTTGCGTACCAAATACCGAAAAATGAGTAAGATTACTTCTTGTTTTCCAAGAAAATATTTTCCATACCAAACACACCCTTTATAGGTAATATTTCACCCCTTAGTAGCTCTACTCAATTCAAATATGGATTCATCGGGCCAATAAACTTTGGATACGAATAATTTAACGGATCTAAATAAAAACAAATTCACGTACCTAATTTCCTATAAAAGGCATTTAAAGGTAATTTTTAAAGTATTTGCATTGCTATATATTGAACGAATACACTAAGTTTCGGATACCAAATAATTAAATTAAATTAAAAAAAAAATGAATTCCTGTACCTAACTTCCTGCCAAGGGCATTTAAAGGTGAATTTACAGCAGCATTGGTGCATTACTGTTAAATCCTTTGCCCCATCAATCACTTACTCCCAAATTGCTTCCAAAATTTATGTGGCAACGACTCTGCCACTCAATGATAATTCATAGTCTGGCACAGTACGAGAACTTGATCTCTTCCTATGATTTTGTCCCTACTTCACTATCCTTGTTCTAGACTTCTAGGAGTCATTTGGTTCACACTTCACAATCTAAACATGCGAATGGTTGGATAAAATTCGTAAATAGCCACTTCTTAGCCCAGGGGAGCATAGAACAACGGTCTAGCTGTCTCCGTGTGACCTATATAAGTTACGAGTTCGAGCCGTGGAATCAACTGATACTTGTATTAAGGTAGACTGTCTACATCACACTCCCTCGAGTGCATCCTTTTCCTTAGCCTGCATGAACGCGAAACGTTTTGTGCATTGGGTTGCCCTTTAGATATTTCTTAGCCCATGTAATTGAAAAATAGCTATCTTGGAATTCCAAGACATTATCATGGTTCACGGAGTTTCACCCGTAGAATTTTAAACTTTGTGACTGATAATTTTTTAGTTATGAAGGTGTAAAGTGGCTAGGGAATCTTATATTAACAAATAGGGCATCTTATATTAACAAAGAGTTTACAAAGGAAGTCGAGGGTTTATCGGAAACTACCTTTATACCTTCATAAGGTATGATTAAGATTACGTACATCACTACCCTCCTCAGACCCACTTTGTAGGATTATACTATGTTTAATATTGTTGTAGACTTGTAGTGTACAAAGGCAAATTCATATAGGACATAACTTTTCCAAAATGTGATTACGCAAGCAATAGCAGAGACACCTGCTGCATCCATTTTACTAGGGGCGTCATCCAATATCGCATCGCCAAAAAGATTCGCTCAATATATATATATATATATATGTAAACATTATTCTTGAAAAAAATATTACCTATATATACAGTATGCCGATATCTAATGAAAATATTACAAAGTAAAAACATTCTGAAACACATAATCAAACTTTGTAATCTCACACCCCAACCAAAGCTCATAGTAGAGTTGTAATAATAGACCGACATCGCTTGCACAAAATCAAATGAAGGAACATTTTTGTTTGTCTATATCCGGCTTATATCACGGCCAAAGATTAAGGTTGTCAACCAGTTAATCAGTACATAGAATCTGTTTCTCCAGCTCACTACACGAGTCAAATATGCTGAACGCCAAACAAGCAAACTCGTGAATCCTGCTATAGATACACCCTTTGCTTCCTGCACCATATATATGTTACCAATTAGCAAGCTAACAAGTTTTAGCAGATAAGGAGCATATGTTGAAAAGATTTAACTTATATACACTGACTGTGTAAAGAAATTTTATTAGCAGATTATCTGAAATCTGCTAGCACGTAACCTGTCTTATTTTTCAGGTTACTAATCCCAGTGTTATTTGACAGTCAGCTGTATTAATACTTTAGGTGACTGATAGGATATTAATGCTGTCAGTGCATTCAAATTAGTACTATGCACCATATGACCTTTTTTGAGGCAACTCTTTAAATTCTGTCCCCAGTTAACCCAATCGCCAAAACTTTGCCGCTAAAGTAGTTGGATGAATCCCATTTTTTTTTTTTTTTT